AATATAGAATTCGTCATTACACAAAAATAAAAAATGATCGATCAAGTTCATGAATTCCTCAATCAAGTTCGCCAATTATTAAATACTACAGAAGATAATCATACAGAAGATTTATTGATAGAAGAAGAAGAAGAAGAAGAAGAAGATAATGATGTTGAAAATGAATCGGAACAATGGATTGATGAAAATGAACCAGGACATTGTGCTGATGTAGGTGATATTGTTTTTACTTTTAAAACAAAACCAGGTAATCAGCAGTCAAGACATACATTGGATAGTCGATTATATCAACAAATATTGAAGATGCAAGGTTGTCAATTACTTGATGTATACAATAGCAATGCTCTTTATATGTGTAAAAACAAAGAAATGCAAAGAAAAATAATGGAACATGTCAAAGGAACAAATGCATATTCGTTCATGGAAAAACTTTATGAAACAAATCCAACATGTGTTCAACAACGTTTAGATACAATAGTCGAGCAGGTAACTACATTATTGAATGATTTAATTACATCGCATTCTATTAATGATTCACAATTTCGTCAAATGAATGTTGATCGATCAACAGTTCGAATGGATTATCTCTTTTTTCTACCAGATACACGTCAAGTAAGTGGTATATTTTTCTTATATTTTTTCTTCTATTTTTGTTTTTGTCTAAATAGAAACATGTACCATTTCAACCTATTATGGTTTGTAGCTTAGGACCAACGATAGGAATTGCTCGTTATATTTATCGTCTCCTTCAACCTATCTATGATCATGTAGCTCTTTCAACAACATTTTTCAAAGAAACAGATGCTGTACATGCTATTGAAATATATGCAAATAAAGATTTATTATTACCAACGACATTATTTGCTAGTCTTCATATAAATGATTTATGTTCAATATTATCTCATGAAGAAATATTACAATCATTAGAACGCTTTCTCAATGAATATTATAAATCGGATCAGCGTATTCAAACTATAACTATCGATACTATTCTAAAACTTACCAAACTTATACTTCAAAATCAATTTTTTATCTACAAAAATAATATCTATCGACAAATCAAAGGTGGTGCTACTGAATCTCCATTAACTATTCTTTTGATGAATATCTATCTATTCTATTGGCAAGATGAATTAGTGAAAACTATGAACAACCAAAATGAAATATTTGGTCGATGTTTTGATAAAATATTTCTTACTTGGAATGGTTCAAAAAATGAACTTTGTTCATTATTGTACTCTACTATTCTCAAGAAAAACAAACAATCATCTTCTTCTTCTTCTTCTTCTTCTTCTTCTTCTTCTATAAAGATAACAACTTCAATTGGAAAGAAAATTAATTA